CACCCTTGAAGTCAAGGAATACCAGGATTGTGGGTCGTCTGTACATGTGGCGTTGCTCTAATACCTGACGGAGTGTGAAGATGTGGTCAACGCAGCCTCTACCCGGTCGAAATCCCGCTTGATTCTCACGAGGCAAGACTTCGCGTGCCGCCATAAGACGACGAAGAATCAATGACGCCAGAAGCCTTGTCACAGCAGGCGTCGAACTAACGCCTCTGTGGTTGCTGCATTCACTGCGAGTACCCGTTTTGAAAATAGGCACCACTGTCGATTCACCCCGGTTGTCTGGAACGGTTTCCTTCTCCCAGATGGACTCAAATAGGCCACCGCCATTCTTGAAAAGAGCAGTTGGAAGTCAGGACCAGCAGCACGATGACGCTTGAGTAGGCAAGTGCATTCGGACACTTCTGAAACTAAAGGTGGTTCCATATTTACTGTCCACCTTTCTGTTGAAGACCAGGTTTCTGGATTGGGGGTATCAGGTGGCCAGCTAAACTGGTGTTCGAAGTACAGTGCCCAGCGGTCCAAACGATCCACTTTGCTGCATATCAGGGAGCCGTTTTTGTCCCTGGTTATTTCGCTGACAAGAGTTTTCCGAAGAGCAGTCGAACGAATCAAGTGGAACAGTTTGCGCACGTTATAAGCATTTTCTGCATCATCCATTTCTTAGACCTTTCGGGTCCACCAAGCTTCTCGGTCTGCGCGGACACTCAGTTTCACCTGGCTTCGGATGATGCGACGGGTGGAGTTGTGGCGGTCAGGTGGAATCTGTCGCCGGGTCCACAGAAAAGACACAGTCCCATCATGGATCTAATGCGGGATTGTATCGCAAACAAACGTTCCTGTTTTGAGTAGTGCTCTGGATATTTTTCCCCAGTGGCCGTTTATGTCCGACACCTTACCGGCCGGCAGGAATTCGAGAAACTGGTTCTGATAGCTTCGTTTGACTTCTTGGTTCACTGGCTTCTCACTGGCTAAGCGAGGTATGCGCGTTTTGCGTACACCTGAAAAGCGCGATAAAAAGCAGCAGAGTACAAGTGCATGGTAGGAGTCCACGCTGGTGTTCCAGGTGGAGCGGCAGGCGGTAATCGACCCTCGCCACCGATAACTGACGGCGATGTAGTCTATTTGGATTCGGCGCTGGTTTGATGGTGGGCACTACGTTGTCAAGCGATTTCCGCTGTTCCGGAAATTCCTACTGCAAAGGAACAGTCTATGATAGGCACACGAAGTAAGTAAGCGGTCTCCGTTTTCCGTGCGTCTAGTGCCCAAACCAAGACGACCACCCAATCGGGCCTCAGCAGCGCTTAGCCTACCTACCTACCTACCTACCTCAAATACAGACCTGACAGTGCTATTGATTCGTGCGGACATCAGGACACCTTTTCTTTTGGGTTCAGGTTAAACTGCCATGAATTTTTCTATAACCTTGATGATGTACTGCTCTTTATGTCCAGTTCCATTAGCCATCAATAATACCCTTTGAATATTTCCAGGGTAACTACTTCATTTTAGCTTGAACATGCTATGGTGAATAAATGTTGCATCAGCTCTGCACATATGGCTGATGTTCTAATGGGTTTAATGTCCATCATTCCGCTTTTCAGATCGTCAAGTCCCTTTTTCTTCATGGATTACTAGAAACTGCCTTATCTCACTGTGACAACGCCCTGATAATGTTGCAATCCAGAGAATCTCCCCAGGTGGCACCCGCGAGACGTCTGGAATTGTCCCTACCTGAAGTGCCGTCTGTTCCCCAATTTCCACTGTCCCTTTCCAGCTTGCGAATTCAGATCGCTTCGCTACTTCGGAAGTATATGCTACCACTATTCTCTGATTGGCCTGAATCGTCGTGTTCCATATCATTCGTCGTCATAAGGGCTGTGGTCTCGGTTGGATCTCGTGTGGATTCCGGGTGAGCAGAGTGCTTCCGGTTTTTTTCGTAAACCTATCCCGGATTTTCTCTTTCCGGTACTTGTTATGGCTCAGCTAACGTAATCCCATTTCCAATGCTTTTTTATTACTGATTCGTGTGGTTTCGTAGTCTGAATATCAGACGCTTCGGTTTGAACGATAGTTAGCTCTAAAGATATTTAAAACTAGGTCTCCAATCCTATTGCACCCAGCTTCTTTGGGTATTGATCGATCTCATTGCCTGCTTCGTATAGCTGTGTATGCACGGCAGTAGTCATTGTGTGTTACCAGTGTGTTTGTTACCATCTTATGTACTTTTTACCGGACCGATTCGGATATTCTTGGTTCTTATTTGAAGCATGATGCCTCACCTGCGTAAGCTCGAGATACCTCAGTGGTTAAGGCGCAGACTTACTGACCGGAAGGTCAATGGTCAGAATCCGACCTCTACATCTTAGTTGCTCCTGTGTAAGCTTAGGAAGCTTGGCGATATCTCAGCCCTTGTCCTTCCTTCGGGTGGTGTGGAAGCTACTAGCGAAGGGGTACTACAGCTGAACAATTTCACCTGTAGCGTACTTTGAGAATTCCGTTACGAATGTGGTGCGTTCCAAATACTGTTTATTTGCTGTCTTCTCGATAATACTTTATCATGACGCTGGCAGGGATCAGAATTTTCCTGCTAATTTCCCATGGATCATTGCACAGGGATTCTTTTTTAAAATTCAGTTTTTTTTTCAAATCGGAAAAGGTTTGGGATTGATTGGGTAGCCATCGTTTTGGAGGGGTTTGGTAGACAATCGGTGGATTTGTTGCCGGGCAACGTTTCACTTTTGACACAAAAGCCTCAGCAATAAATCTAGTGATTATTTACGAAACTCCTCTGAAACGATCTCTGTTTTTATCTACACTAAGTCCCTCTGCAGCACCTAGTTCAGTGAACGTACGAGCTGTTGTTCATACGAGGGTTGGTGATCGTCGGGGTGATCTTACTGCATGGAGACTTACTACTCCAACTTACTCATTCCTTCGGGCTATTATCGGATTACTACTGCGACCACTACTGGCTTTTCCTTACCTCGTGCTTTTCCACCTTTAACACTTTTTGCTTACAGTGAGCTAATTTTCAACGACTTCTACCCGTTAGTGGAGAAAGTGGATGAATGGCAATCCTGGTTCTTCGTCGCTCTAGTTCAATTGATCCGCACTTTTCCGATATCAGGCGTGTTGAGTTGTGAGAAACTGATAAGTTTATGTGACGACAAGTCCAAAGACCCCGCACTGTGCTACACTGCTCCACCAACTATATCTATGAAATTGCTAGAATGGTGTCTAACGCCCTCGAAACAATGCTTTCGAGCAATGTCCTTGGAACAAGATTCGGCACCCACATCTCACGGAGATCCGGGCCGTGTTTGGGCGGAACAGTGTCTGTTGCGGTTACCTCCGGCCTCCATTGACTTGAATCAGGTAGGTCATTTAGTCCATCGTTCCACCATTTCATAACCCTATCTTATGTGCCTTTTGTGAAAGGTGGAAGTCTAGAAACAACTTTAGTCATCTAAACAGCATTACTTGTAACTAATAACTGGAAGTTCTTTTATTGTGGTTATGTTTTTGCTAGGGTGCTGTTGAATCCACTGGCTCTTGATGAGTGCATTCATGGTAACTTTTCATGTTTTTTCTCTTAGTAACCTAACAATGTGCACAAATCCCCATCCCAGTTTATTAGAAGTTGGTTGGTCAGGAGCTTGCTGTATTTCATCCAATTCATTCAGCTAGTGCGAATATATATGCCTTAATGTAGTCCACTGTGATGTTAGGTTATGCACATATAAAAATGAATTTGTTTATCCGCATTCAGGCTGTCAAACTTTGTTGGAATCACCAGCTATACACCGCGTATCTTCATCTTTATACCAACACCCTGATGGATTTCGAGACACCATTTAAACAGCTCATTGAATGCCTCGATGAAGAGAACAATGGAGAACAAATCTCTATCCGTGAGTTTTGTTATTCTTCTAGAAAATGTTCCGGTCGTTATCTTGTATGTCTTATCACAACTGAGTTATCCGTCGTTGCACCAACTTTCCGACCTGATTGCTGGCTGTGAATATATCGTATATTGTTTGTAGATTCATCTCTCTGTCATTATTCTGTGTCGGTTGAAACACCTGAGCTCAATTTGTCAGCTGTTGATTTGTGAAAATGGCTTGGTCACCGATCATTGTCCTTACCTATTATTCTCACCAGTAGCAACTTTTTCGGCATTGAGTCATGCCTGTAAAAACGCTAGCTCATATTGCTGATGAGTGCATCGTAAGGAGCGAAAACGGTAGGGTCCGTTGGGGATGTGAATGGACGCCATCCAGCAGTTATGCGGTTGCCAGAGCTTGTTGAACCGCTCTTTCTGTGGTCCGCTACACTATCCCNTAAGGAGCGAAAACGGTAGGGTCCGTTGGGGATGTGAATGGACGCCATCCAGCAGTTATGCGGTTGCCAGAGCTTGTTGAACCGCTCTTTCTGTGGTCCGCTACACTCTCCCATTCTCATTCCATTTCTCTCGCCAGATGACATGCATATTTTCTTTCTTCAGCTTCTTCACAATCAGACTGTGGACAACACCTACTCCTGCTCATCCGTGCTGCATTTGCTGCCGAGTCTTCTTCCCATGATGCACTTCCGCCCCCTCTATGTGTAGATGCACCAACCCGAGTAAGTTCGTCCGATTCATGACTTTGCTTTATTTGTATGTGCGCAATCCATTCATCGATGTGATCAACCAGTTATGAGGCGCGTTCTTATTCCGCAGAACTATATGTCATTTTCCCACATTTCACTGAGAGTGAAGTAACCGATAAAAGTTTTGTTTCTACTCATGTGCGCTTCGAGGTCCCAGAACTTATTTTCGGCTTCCTGAACTTGTTTGGCCAGTAAAACCCCTCTATGTTCGTGGGTGTTTCATAACCGTGTTCCCTGATTATGTGATTGCTCTATGTAAAAGTCTTATGCGGTAGATGGAGTCTCTCCGCGTCAACTGCATTTGGAAAGACAACGAACCTGTTTGACCGTCTTGTAGGCACTAGCTGACTGTCAACCAAATAAACCCACTTCCAGGTCTTCGTTTAATGTGTCGATTCGTCTAACAGTATACCACTGTATATTTCATTATCCTCAGCTTGTGGCACATTAATATCTATTATCTATTCGATATATTCCACTATCCAGTTTTTTCATGTCGTGCTGTCTGCTGTCACTCAATTCTACGCTTCCATTATGGTCCGCTTTTTTACTAACTATTTGAACAAGCAAAAACCAACCTATGAGAATCATTGGTTCTCCCCGCTTTATTTGTAATAAGTCAACGAAATACCAACGCTGGTGTCACATCTATCAACTTCCTTTATTAATTTAGATCTTCAATCTGCTACTCAGCGAGTCCATCGTGACAGGGGAATCCAAACGTCTTGCTTATCCTCGCTTTCCTCGTCTTCGACTTTTGCTCCAGTACAATGCTGTGGATTTCCTGAACATGCTCACGTTGTCCATATCCAGCGATTCTTTCTTTCAGGAGGGTGAACTCGGGTATGTTTGACTTGTGGCAGGTACTCTCTCTGCGATGATTTTCTCTAATATGCTATCAAGCCTTGACGTGAGAAACTTTAACCTCATTGCGTGTTTTTGCCAACGAATTTGATTTACTGTCGATATCCCCTCGTAATTTTCGGTTTACTTATCATCTTGAGAATCACTTCACTTAAGGTTGCTGTTCACTATGCCTACTAAGAGCTATCAGCCTACTACGTCTTAGTACATCAGCTTGGCGAATCGTTGTGCAATTAATTCTTCTTTTTAAGGCTGTTTTGGTCGCGCAAACCATTCCGTTGTCTATATCTTGCTGTTCCGCGCACCAGTGTGTCAGCATGCACGGTAGCTGAAAATGATGTGTGGTATGAGTATGTTTTTTCCTATGCATTATGGCGACTTCCTGGAGAGAGGGAAGTCATCTTTAGTGATTTCTCGAATGTATACTGTCCGTGGAATACAAACAGCACCGCAATTAGAACCCACTGGTTCATTGATGTGATAAAGTCGTGAACGCGCGATCCACGGTCATCATGGGAGTTTGTAGCCGTACCCATAACGCAGCTAAGTGCAGACTGCGAGAAGACGACTGAGCGGCAACGAAGAGCAGGACAATCAGAGAGCTTATAGATATCGAGTTGGTCTCATTCGTCCTGACCGTTGGATCTGGCGTCCATGCGATTTATCTACTCTACTCCCTAGATTCAAGTGTGACCCGCGGGGTAACGGTTACCGTGGCGACTCTTCCATGGTTCGTGAATCAATTTACCAGACCTCAGCACTATCCAGGTGTTCACATTCCCGTGATATGTGAAACTCCTCTATGAGGAACGGTAGCACTGCCATGTTGTAGGGTCGCTAATAGGCCCGTGAGATATTTTTGTGCGATTCGGTTGTTGTACCGTCATTTAGATCACGGTGCTACTAGGACTTCGATGTGAAATGCCCCTCGCCGTAATACGTAGATGTCAGTTTTCTTCCAGTAAGATTACTTTGGTAACCACAACGTTGATGAACAACGCAGGCTTCGAAGTAGAACGCTCCGTTAGGAGAATTTTCTCCCTTGCTTGACGGCGCTCCCTCGTTGGATGGGTGGCTGATAAGAACCTAGTTGCATATTTCGGGCTCCGCGCTAGTGGAATTGCGGCTACTCCTGAGTGTTTTAGTCCGTTTGTGTGAGTGCACATCTCACATGAATTGGAGGGAATCATATATTCGGTGCTGTTGCGTATCCGTAAATTATACTTGCTAGTCCACCTTTGTGAGTCTGAATAATGGTCGTCGGCTCTCATTACGTATGTCATTGTGTGCAAGCCATTTTATGCCACCTAGCTAAGCCTCGTGCAACAAGGTAATGTTGCGCGCAAATTTACCTTAATATAACGGCGAAATTGGTGATACTAATTAGGAAACCCGCGCACGTAGGGTTAACATGCATGCCCTGTCCCATACTCCTGCCTCATTGCCTTCAATCCGTACTGCAGTTTCGGTTCATTGTACCGTACCCGTGTACATGGCTGAATAGTTAGTCATGTCCAGTGAAATAGAGCACACTGACTTGCCGGAATGCTGCATCATCAGTGGTTCAGCACATCAGTAGACCTGAGTCAATAGTGCAGAGTCTCTTCTTTGGAAAGGTGATAGTAGGAAGAACTCCGTGCCGCAATACTCCCTCATCGACGTGGGTTTTTTGTCGTAGGGGGAAGTGCTGTACCAGAGTTGTAATTACTTGGATTGCTTTGAACAATACACTACTTGGTTACTCCGGTAATGGTCACAATCTAGGTGAGCTGCACGGACAGCAGTTTGGATTGTAGGGCGGTCCCGATGGCAATACGACAAGCAATCGCATTTGATTGGGTTACACAGTTCGTTTTTTTAGGGGGGGGGGGCAATAGTAAAAGCAGCTAGTGGGCTCTGTGCTATGCTGTCGTACTGTAGTGATGGCGTCATTGTTTGAACACGGCTTCCGTATTAGCGTTCTTTGTTTTTGATCCCATAGCTCACTGGTTCGAAATTTTCAGCATCTACATTGTCCTCGATATCTCGCTGGTAATTCGATTTAATCTCTCCTTATTTTTTCTACCACTGCTTCAGCCTTGCCCATCGGACACATCTGCTACACAAATTGATTGCGTGTACATTGGAATCAGCCCTAGACCACTCTTCATCGTTCACTTCTTTTGCGCCACACGTCTTCCGGTTCATTGTGCATCAGCTTACTCTTCCGGATAATAGACAAATCGATATCGAAGAGTCTAAGCTGTTTCAGGTTTGTTCTGGACTTGTCTCAATTTTCCCATGCGATTTTCTGCCCACCTACCGTTCTCATTATCCACAGCTTCCAGATGCACGTAGCCTTGTAACCAAATTATACCGCAGACAGCTGCTTAGGCTTGTTCATCAACCTGGAGTCCCACAGGAGGTATCCGTAGGAAATGGAATCCCTAATAGAATTTCGTGAGGAAAGTAAGTGAGCTCCTCAAACAGGTCGTAGCCAACCAACGCTGTCGTACGTTCTACTACTACCGTCTGTTATGTAGGCGTCTTCTGCTGTTCGACCTCTGCATTGAGTTGCAGGACAGTGTAACGCATTGAATTCTTCTGCGCATTCTCCATTCCCAACTGAACTTCGTGGCGTCCACGGCTGAAACAAGAATGTCGACATGATCCACCACTGTCTTTTTTACTGTTTATCCTCTTCATCATCCTCGCTCTCGTTCCTAACCGACACCGATCTACTTTCAGTTTTCAAGCTATCCTGCATTTTAACTTTAGTAAACATGCCTACTATAAGTTGAAACATGTGTCGTAACCATGCGATCTCGGTACCATCTCACTATATATATATAAAGAGCTTAAAGGAAGAGCAAGTTGCAATACAATCGGCCCTTGCAGGATGACGTGCTCAGTTGACCTTAAAGATAGGAACTGTGTTGTGCTCCCCTCGTAGTTTCCGAACGGTCGCCTGTAACATTCGGTGGCCAAATGCCATACCAACTAAGGGACTGAGGTACTTCCAGGTTGCTCGTGTCTAGATAAGAGCAGGCGAAATGCTGAAGTTGGTTTCAAACTATGGGCTTTCCAGTCAGTAAATTGGTGCTCTAACCACTTAGCCAACTCCACTGAAGGATGGGTAGGATAAAGCCAGATTGGTTTATAAAATCACAGGTGTACTCATTTTTTCGATTAAAGGGACGTTGATGAAAAGACTCGAGTAGTCCTTGTAACCACCGAGCTATGCCATGGAGGGGAGGGTTGGTCAATGTCAGTACAGGTGACAATGGACAGCCTTGTCCACGAAGCTCTGGAGGACCGCACGTGCGAAGGATATGTATACAGTTTGGAATCAGATAGTCTAATATATTTTCATGATGGAATCCTTGTTTTTTTTTCAGTCGATTCAGCCATTCATTTAACTGCTATTCCACATACGTCGTTTGTGTTTGCCCGACGAGACCACACCGAATTTACATGATTGCAACTTATGTGTTCTATACTTCCCTGATTTTTTGCCCACCCATTGTTTTCACGTGATTCGTCCACTTCCTGCTTTTATTTTCTGACCGATCTTTCCCTTTTACCATACTGACGACAGTAACGGCGACAGTCACACACGTGAACCTTTTACTTTTTGGAGTGTCAGTTGCGTACATACTCCTTCTCCCATCATCATCCTCCTCATCATATTATTTCTATTTTACGACTCGATCACCTAAATAAAATTTCGTCGTGACTAACCTCTTCGGCTTTCGTGGAGCAACCCGGTTGCGGAGCAGAGTACCGCGAGCAGATAACGGTCGTCTAATCAGAATTCCCTTTCGGACGTTAGCGAACAGTAGGGAATTCAGCTCTTTCATATATGAATGCGCCCATCTGGTGAGCTCCAAAACGGGCGAAACCGGTTATGTGCTTCCGAAGAGTCTTCGGTATCACGTATCGCCAAGAATCTTGATTTACTTTAACTTCAGTGTCGCTCTGCACGACGACCAGCCGGCTTAGGTTTATCGATTCGCAACTCTTCAATAACGGAGGTTGATGTCAAGGTTCTCGCTGGTGCCTATCTAATGTTAGTTTTAGTGGTGCATGCACTGTAGGACGATAGGATTCAGGCATCCATCTTTGAACCTTAGGATTTCGATCCATGTTTTCAGTGTATCTCAGCGAGCGAAACCGATCTTGGCACAGTTTCAGGACGTCAACTGCTCTCAAGGTGAATTTTCGACTGGCCCTTTCGATGAAGTTTGTCAAGAAATTAAACACTTGATAGCAGTCAAATGTTATTATTGACTACCCACGATCCGGATGAGGTATCTAATGTGTACTAAGCCTATGAAACTTGGATTTGCATGTCAGTCATAGAGGCGGAATGTGTTTGACCACATTCTACCATTATGAACTATCTTTATTAACTGGGCACCTAGGCGCCGAGGAATGCCTCTGGGACACTGGTTTTGACGTCGTTAGTTTAGCTTATCAGTTTCAGCCAGGTTCAACAGCGAGTCTCCGCAGTTTCCAGACAGGTTTGTCAAATACAGGTGTGGGTATCCGCAACGCATCTGCTCAGGTTCTGCAGGCATAAAGTAAGAAAGTAGGATCTTTGCTGACTAGAAACACCGCACATAAACTTACCTTTTTCAGGACTATTATTCTCATCTTAGAAATGAGTACGTTCACGTTTACGGGTCTTTCTTGCAGCTGTCCAAGCGTATCTGCAATGATAGCGGGGGGCGCACAGAGAAAACGTCGCTCCTGTTTCAGTCTGCGGTGATTGAGCTTATGTCAATGGACAGACTCACGGACCTCGAAGCCTGTTTGGTCCTAGCTCAGGAAGCTGGTCTGTAAGTTTGCTTTTTTCTGATTATCCATATCTTCGAAGGATGAAAATCTTGCTGGGCATTCTTTCAGTAAATAGGGATAATACAACCAAAGCTAACCGGTTACATATCCTGTTACACAAGATTGGTAATGATATAAAATGGAGACTTAAGGTTAACGGATCGATGCAGTAGTGAACGACAAATAGTAGTTCATTCGCCTGGCCGTTACCAATCCGGCGTCTAATCACGCACCCCTGGTAATCTGGTAATCATTGATTTCTTATTCGAAAACCATTGCTGTGGAAACATCTGCCTGACTGGATAACCACTCCAGTGCGTTACTTATGATGGGGCCTTCGACTACCTCTATCGAGCAGCTGACTATTGATTGCTGATCTGTTTCCCGGGCTTGGTAATTGGCTCACGAACATTTCGTCACCAGACTTGGAGACATCAGTGTGTGGTTGATGTGTCCTCGAATGACGACGAAATATTCTCGAGGTAATTAATTGCAAGCCTCAGCGAACGGGTCTACGGTCACCGGATCAACTGTCAATAAACATACCTCTATCCACCAATATTCCAATACATTACCTACCGTTTATTTGAACCCCCTAGTCCAGAACCGTTTTGAAGCTGATTTGAATCGGACTGAGTTCGACAGAGCATCTTATCGTAAAAAGACATATGATGGCAATTAGTCCCCATTTTTTTAGATGCACGCAGATCTCTGAGCTTATAGGGCGGAGAGATCGGTACTTTTCTGGCACGCATTGTCGCACTTTTTCAAACGTTAAAATGAAGTTCTACGTAAAAGTGTCTCATAGCCATGTCGCACAGACTTCGCTGGATTCATCCATATTATTATTATTATTCTGTGCCTGAGTCGCTTCTGTTTGTTGTTTCATGTAGGAACTATATTTGTGAGTATATCCACCGAGTGCGTGGTGATCGGTTCTCTGCCTTTCGCGATCAGCTCAATGAACTGGAACATTTCGAAGCAACGCACCCAGGCTTCAGGACGCAGCTAAGCGATTCGTACCCGGAACTTTCGCAGATGGCTGAACAAGTATTTGTTTTTCTAGAACAGGTATTCCCGTCAGACGGAAGGATGACTCGAGCCCCGTCGGACATGAACATGACTCCTGATGACGTCTCTTGCCTCAGAGGCACGATTATTGAAAAGTTGGAGGTAAGTTCCTTGGGGTAATTCTCTTTCAGTGTGACATTTCACGTACCTAGGGATGTGCGCCACTCACTGTTCTCAAAGTCCAGTGCTTTTCCGCTCATTTGTCAACATTCTTCTTGTCATCTCAGACTGTTTGACAAGAACAGCAGATGGTAGTTGCAGTGGTCTTAGATTAGATCATCAATGACCTGGCCTCTGTTCATGCTGAAAAACACTAGAAATGAAAATGCGAAGGTGTTGCTCTTTTCCCCTTCAAAAAATTGTTCACTCTACCTGTTATCCCCACTCATTTCTGATTTCTTCCTTATTCCTCCGTTCAGACTTTGTGTTTAACCTTCCTGAATCGACGAATTTTTTCTCACTCAGTCGTGCTATTAGGTACTGTAAGCTGTTACCTAGGTGATTTGTTTTCCTCCAAATCCCAGAGTATTAGCTTGGCAGAACAGTTTCAGGCCAGCCAGCTCAGACCGTGACTTAGGAGGTGCTGTTTCCACAGGTTCTAGAGTAAGTCCTTTGGCCATGAGGCATGAAAATCCCCACACATACATTTGAATTCCCGCTGTGATCATGATCGTTGTGGTATCTGTTTACTCCTTTCTGCTGCTCGAATCATTAATAGTGTTTGTAATCAACGTTTCACCACCACTTTATCTGTATTTCACTGGTCTCATCTTAAATATTGGTATCCCGAACAAGCATAAGACTAGTATACGGTCCTATAGCCGGTGTTGGTAATGCTGGCGTAACAGGCTTTGTCACCAAACTGGTTTCTGGTCTCCCATTACGAAGACTGAATGCTTATATAAAGGGATGAAAACTTTCTGACGGGAACTTCCCAAGTTTGCGTTGGTTTTGTCAAAGAACGCCTGACTTCCCAATAATGATCTTTTCGTCGGCTCACTCCCTTTCACCCCAATGGTGAACCTAACAAGTGAAACTTTAAACCATACCAGAGTCTGAAACCCACAGTAAAAGCCGAAATGAGTTTAATCCTTCTGCCAAAAAAGTAGCAGCCGTAATTCTTGAGTTCTTGAGAGTTCACACCAGCATTTTCAGTTAGCCACCAGTTGAATACCTTTCAAATGGGGGCCAAATATCCTTTTTGTCTACGTTTTTCTTTGGGGGGGGGGTGTTTGACCATAGTGGGGTATCCGATTTGTGCCTAACATTACCATGCTGTCGTCCAGCTGTGACTAGCCTCCCCATCCTCATTCGATGTCAAGCACATCCTAGTCGACAAAATCGTCGCAAGTTTCTAAACCGTAACCAATCCCCTTTCAGCGACTGCACGCCCTCCTAAACAGTATGCGTGACTGCATAAACCTTGCTCTACAGGCCCGATGGAAGTTGTCTACTGATTCAAGCTACTATGCGCAGCATCAGAAGCTCTTGAAAGTTGTATACAATGGGTTGGTCCGGAATTATAGCCAGTTTATCTCTGTGGTTGCGTGCCACGCAGTGGAGTGTCGTGCGTATGCCACTTCTCGTCTGCATGTGTTAGCACGCGGCAGTTCATCAAAATAGCTGTTGTCGCATAACAAAAGAGATAGGTTTAGCATATCGTTATCATTAAGCTTGCCTCACCTCTCTACTGTTCGAATCACCACCGAATTTCGTAATCACTGTATCGTGTCAGCTGTCGAACGTTTGCATAGGATTGATATCATTGCGAATGGAATGTTCTAGCGGTTCCCTCGATGTCGCTGAATTCATATAACTAAATTACGCGTTTTCTCACGTAGAAGTTATTGCCACTCATACTATTCTTGCAAAAATTGCCCATTTCAACTCATTCTTTTAGTAACTTTTTGGAGCTGTGGCAAACAAAATGCATGGGTTTTTGTCACGTTAGTAAAGGATGTTGAAAAAAATATAATTCAACCATAGGTAACGTCATTTTTCTTGTTTCGTTTTCCGAGTCAGAGATTTCAGACTCTTGGATCCATACTTAACAGACGCATGTGCGGAATGAGTCATATGGTCGTAGTATATGTCCCGCTGTGCAAGGTTTTCAAAAGAATACTGGCTAGAGGAAAGGTGAGGACACCCGGGTGCTCGCCCACTGTGTCCCAAAAAAAACCTAGATCAACCTGATCAACCAACAAATTCGACTGAGCGAAGTGATATAACTAGCAGTCGACGCTTGCTCTCTTTCATTTTACAATTGTTTAGATGTGCGATACAGTAGAACCAGCGGCGTCGCGGGTCAAACAGAATAGTCGAAACTAAAACTGTTAACTTCAATAACACGGTTGCAGACCTTTAACCCTTAGGTCTGCGAATATTTTGTGATCCTGAATGGATCCACAGATGTGTCCTCGATTACCTTTACTATAATTGTCTGTCTCCGAAAAAATAGTCTCTCAGAAAAAGCCATCTGCTGTTGAATTCCTGCGACTCTCCCTAACTGTAGTGAGCTTGTCACCTCATTTTTTTGTTATCATCGGAAGGTAGCCGCATGTGGGCTAAGTCTTTGTTGCAGACCTAACCATTCAATTCTCTTGAGCTGTTTTACTTTGGTCCTGCAACTAATCTTCGCATTCGCAAATAGCTTTTTGTAAGCACCTGTTTTTTGCTTTCGGAACTCACACTTATTTTTCTTCAGTGTTTCCACCTGTGCATACACTTCTATTCCCTGGTTTTAGGTATTCACCATGTGGGACGCCGAACGGACCTTGCGTATACTGTACAGTATTTTTGGTAGTTCGATTTCTGAACTGCTCCTTCTTCTGTTTCCGGAGTTTAGCCTCTACCAATCTGGCAAACTTGGCGAGCCGAACGATCGAGAAATCAAAAATTCCACGACCTGCTTAAATTTGCTTCGCATTTACTTTCGCTGTCGGTGAGTTTGAAGCACAGTCGTACTCCTTCCTCAATTTTGAATGGGCCACTGAAGTCACACTTTTTCTGAAACAGAGGGTTCAGTAGAATCTTTTCTCCGTATTTTGTTTTTTTTTTTTTGGCATTTGTTCCCTGTTTGCACGTGAACGGAAGTATCATCATTAATTACGTACCTCAGGTAATCGCAAGTGACTAACACTGTTGGACTATTTCTCGGGATGTATGCTTGGAAGTCACGGATATGAGCCCTCTTTGGAGTTCAAAAGAAGCTCAAGATTACGACAAATACGTTCGTTGGCATATCAGTTTGGTTTTCGTAGAAGTCTCAACTGAATCTCCTGTTGACGATGTCCTTCAACTGAATGTGTTGCACAAAGGCCGCTTCATGTTTCAGTCGGTACGATCGATATCGCAGTATGTTTATAATGGAAACTACTCATAAGTTTGCTGCTTCAACAACCATGTGGGTAGTTTCCCTATGGAAGCTGAAGACTAACTTGTGGCCCGCTTTGTTCAGATATTCTACGTCTCTGGACGCAAGGATTGCTGGCATCTCAATAACACTGTCGAGCGAATCCTCTGGTATATCCTTGATCGTTTGAAGTCGAAGACAACGTTAACTATTCTCTCGTATGTTAGCCGGTATATGCTATGGACAAAGCTGTTTAAAATTTGTTTACTCTATCCCAGCGAATCCAACCTAAGGCTTTTCTTAGGAAACATGCACCCTTCTCGAATCTTCTATAACAGATAAGGCTTGAATAATGAAGTCTGGATAAGCTGCACTTAATACGGTATTTTCGGGTGAACTTTGGACCGGATAACTGCTGCCCTGTTTTCAAATAACGACGGTCCAGTAGACGAACGTAAACTGGTTTTACGAGCTCGGGATGGCTCAGTGGTTAGACCGCGAATTTAATTACCGGAAGGTCCGTGGCTCCAACCCAGCCTCTGCATCTCGTCTTCTCCTGTCCAGACTTGGGCAACCTGGCAGTATCCCAGCCGTGGTGCCTCCTTCGGGTGGCATGGCAGCTAGGCACTTGAAGGGTGTTACAGTTAGCTCATTATTATTATTAAATTACTAAGTTGGTTTCAGAAACAATATTTCTGGAAAAGTGAACTTCTCTAACACCGTAGTGGGTATGAATATACGTTTTGAATGCCCTAACTAAACTACTCCAACAACCTAGTATCTTAATATATATGATAAAAAATTGGAATGAATGATGCATAAACAACCGGTAGCACATCTCTCTCACGCTTTCCAGTCTAACTTTACCGGATTCTCATTATAGTCCTCCATCAGCTCTACGATAAACACTATTCTACATATATGGATATTTCTCCTTGTTGAGGCACCTTTTTCTCCAATGGCTTAATGAGGTGTAAACATCAACTAAGATAACACAACAGTCAAGTTCTCCATATCGCGCAATATCAGTTAGTATCTAACATCACGACTTATCTAAGCTTATGTGAAGTCTCAGAGTCGTCTTATCTTCATCCAACTTACGCGGACGTATCGTCCTTTCCATTACAGGCAAACGCTACAATTACGACTACATTCGGATGACAACCCGCCAGATGAGCCTTCAGCCTCAATCTT